TCCAATTCTTCGCTTGCACGATGCGAGAAAACCTGTCTAACCGGTTCTCTGGAGTACAAATACCGCGTGATATTTGTACTCGTCTATGGCGTTATTTGTACTCTAAGGAGTGTAGTTGGATAATAATATTAGTTATTCCCCTTGCTGTCTGCCATACATATCTAATGATGACAGTTCGGAGAGTTTGGTATTGGATCAACTAATGATCCCCTAATTGATATTTTTCTTTGTTCTCATCACTTGTCTTCTTGATATTATGTTGATGTTTTGTGGAGAAATTCTGTCTTGGTCCCCTGAAGGAATTAAAGAGTTAGTGCAGAAAAGTTTTGAAAGAGAGTTTCACTTTCCCTGACAGAGGACGAATTAAATATTTGTATTCGGGTTATGACTGTGAAAACCCGAAACTGAAACCATTCGAAATTATTAGTGAGGCTTCTGGTTGTGTTTCCAAAACTGTGTTGATCTTTAGTTGTGAATTTTTCGATTACGTCCCTTTTTACAACAATTTACCGTTGTAAACCATGTCGTTTTTAGGAGAACGAAATGACACTAAATATGAGTGGTTTTGTCTTTTTGGTTTCAGAAATTTTACGTGGTTAAGCCATCATGGAGATCGCCTGAAGTTTGACCTAAGTTGGGCTGGGACCGAGTCCAGGTAATAAGTTGGTTTTTCTTTGGTTAACGAAGAGCTTTTGAAGTCACAGGAAAATAATTAATAATTATTCACCGCAGTGGAGATTAGTTTCCACCACTTTTACTGACACCAAAGTGAATAATTGTTTCAGTACACACCACAGAGGAAACAAAAAAAAAACTTTAGCTCTGTCAATATGCGGTAGTCTCTTCGGCTGCCCAAAAATGAATAGAACTTACTAATCACTTCGGAGCTGACCATTCAGAGCGCGCGAAAAGCACCATTTGCCCGTGTGGCATGTGCCAATTTTTATCCATCTACCATAAGCAATGTAAACAAGAACGCAAAGATTGTTGTTCTTGTGAACAAGAAGAACAGTTTAAAACGGCTTTTCTTAATACAGGTGTACGCTGTGTTATACGCTAGTAGACACAAAGGCGTCTTAAATCAATGAAACTGTAATCGTTTGTCTCATTTTATAGAAACACTTTAAGGTATTATTGATCGCGACATTTAGGGTGTTTACTGTTCGTCTTCGTTATGGAATGAATTGGAATTATGACTGGTCATGATTGGTCCGTTGTGGTCACTGTCGCGTTTTATTCCTCAGAGTTACTGAGATGAACAGTAATACTCATCGTGCAGCTAAAACTCCTAAAATATGTGTATAGGAACGCAAAAAGCTAATTCCATGCTTCCACAGGCATACCAGTATGTAACTAACTTTAAAGTGCGTCATTTATTCGGCACAGGCATACCAGTGATTTACTGAGCCAGGCGCAGTACCATGTGGCGCGCGCCCGAAAAGTTGACGAGGAAGAACAGGAAACACGGCGAAGACAGGAAGAAGAGAAAGAATTGATCAGGAAGAAGAAAGAAGAAGAGGAAGTATGATCAATAGCTTAGTTCAATAAGATTTGGATACCCTGTAGGACAACCTCTGTTTTGAAAACAATTTACCGCACTACAGGAGAGCTATTTTGAAACGAGTGTTGAAAGTAATCTGGGTTTGGATTTGTTTTTCCTAGCTAGGCTTTCAGTGGTCTATAAAGTTATCTCCATTTTTATCAACCAATCGTGTTCAAAATTTGAGCCATTCGTGACTTGGTCACGTGTGTTTTTCGCGCCTTAGGTAGGTTCATCTTGGTTTCTTATCGGCCGTTGTGGTTACATCGGTTTTGGTTTACCACACTCAATCCAAAACGCTTCATTCTGCATCCTGCATTATGTAAGCGCGATCCAAATGCTAACCGTCTCCTCAAGCGAAATTACCGGGGGAGGGATTTTAAAATTCGAACAGTAAGTTGGCGCTAAACTCTAACTGTGGCGCCCCTGGTTAACGTCACGCAAGAATTGTTTGCATCCTGGTAGAATCAGGATTGTCCAAAGAGTCAGGCGTCGAAAGTTGAGTGGTTTGTTGCTCAAAAAGCTCTATGCCTTTGCGTCCTCTACAGAAAATTCGAAGGGAACAGCGAGAGCAGCAGGAGAAAGAACTCCTGGAAAAACGTCAGCAGTTTCGAGAAGCGACCAAAAACTTGCTCGTATTTGTGCCAGAAGAACAAGCTCCAAAGGAGAAGGCCTCAAGAGGAAGAAAGGTAAAGCTTTGTTCATTTGCTGCGTAACGTTTCCAGTGAGCACTACCGATGTTATTTAGTTTCTGGCTGAAAACAACCACAAGTATTGCCAGCTTTCATGACAGTTTGTTTCTGGTTGATAACTATTGTTAACTAATACACTGATACTTAAAAGCGCTTTTTGACATCTTTGTGTTAGGTTTCCAATTTGAACGACTATTTATTATTTGAGAAAAGCTTGTACGGTCTGATATCTATCAGTTCGGTTCTTAGCCAATTACAAAACCCTCTCAGAACTCTTTGTCGTATGTTATGCCATTTAACTTCCATCACTTGAACTTTGCTACTGCATGGGCTGACTTTGAGAGGCTAACTGATTTTCCACGAGCGAGATTTTGTTCCTTTCGAAGAGAAATCAAATGAAGCATAAAAGTACGCTGCCAAATGGTCCTCAAACAGTTTTAAGTATCAGCTGTATACTTTTTACTTTGCCCCATGGCCTTGATTTTAATTTGATTCGTGTTTACTTTGTTAGCCTTTCCTCGTTTTAGTTTTAATCTTTTGGTCTTTTGCAGAAAAAGACGGCTGACGATTTCGTGGCCAGCAACGACGAAGAAAGTGATGATGACGATGGTGTTGATGTGAACGAGGAAGGAAACGAGGTGAAGAAATCAAAAGTCAAGAAAGATAAAAAAGAGAAAAAAAGGTTGGTTTGAAAGTTATTTTGAGGTGTCTTTTGTTCTTCTTGTTCCCGGCTTGTATCAATAAATGTATAAGTCATTTTGTAGGCGAAGAAAGCGAGTTCAAGAAGAGGGAGACGAAAATGCTCCCAAGAAAAAGAGGTTCGTGGTAGAGCATGGTAGAATGTTTGTATAAACTTGCTTTAGTCGTCTCAATTACTCCAGTACATTGTATGTGCCTTTGTAACCTTTTTTTATGCTTTGATGTTTGTATCGTCATGTAGGGGTTTCTTGAAGTCAACTCCAGTTTACATGTGCTGAAAACAGTTTGACTTTGTGGGGACTGATCTCTTAACTGCGTGACAAAGCTGGGTCATATGACTCAAGTAAAGCCCTATACTGGGCCATCAGATGACATTTATATTTGTCTTTTAACAGAGCTCGTAAGCCCAAAGGAAAACCACCGAAAGAACCGAAATCTGGTGACGAAAGGTTGGGATCGAAACAAAGGCAGAAAATCAAGTCGAAGGCATTCGTGTCATCATCTGAGGATTCGTCTGATTCTGATACAGAGAAATTGAAGATCGCCGATGTGTGAGTACATAACTCAATATTTGTGAAGGTGTAGTCTGATCGTCCGGGTGAGTGTAGTCCTGAGAAGGACTGTTGTCGGTGGTGGTGACTGACGTTTTGACAACCTGTGCGGAAGTCATCATCAGATTCAAGTGAATGATTGTTGTCAGTAGAATGTTCTTATTCCAGTTCATGTAAAATGTTCGGTTGGTTTTGCCGTGATGTTATTGGCTTTAAGACTCAAGTGACGT